GTGTGTGTGTGTGTGTGTGTGTGTGTAGATGGATGGATGGATGGATGGATGGATGGGGTGCAGAGGAAGCTTACGGTGAGCTAACAGCTCAAGGCTCTCAGGATCCCTGCGCTCTTCCTGAGAGCGTCTCTAAGCCTAGGCTAAAAGGAGTAAAAGAGACAGCAGGGTAGATTAGATTTACACTAATCCCACTGGGGAGATTGGGACTATACGTTATCTCCATGGATTCACTTTTTGTACTTTTCACCCCTTTCCCACTTGTCTGTATTTATTTATTTATATCCACAATTAATTCCACTTCCCCTCCTGTTGGACATATCTTTGGATTCCTCCTCATGTGTTCACACCATAGACTGTCTATGGTTCACATATCCAGTACCTGCTTGTTTTGTTATCCTGAAAAGTCTGCCTTTCTGCCCTATTCCTGAGTTGATTGAATGAGCTTCAGCAGCATAGCTGGCAGCTATCTGCTCAGAGGAAGAGAGATGCTTCATTCAGGGTGAGTGGAGAGGAAAATGATGGCATGGATGATAAGTGCCCTCATTGGGGTCAGGCGAGATGAGGACATGGGGGGGGGGAAGATGAGAGGGCAGGAGAGGAGAAAAGAGGAGAAAAGAGGAGAGCGATTGATAAAGCAGCTAGAAACATAAAAATGCTACAGGCTTACAGAAGTATGGAGATAGTGAAAGCTTAAAGCTGTTGTTTGGGAATGGAGAAAAGCTAGGGAATAATGTATTTCCTTTAGAGAAGAATGGGATAAAACATGGATGCCTTGCCCATAGCTTTGAGATTTCCCAGGCTTGCAGCATAACTCGTGTTATACAGAACGTTTGTATATATTCAGAGGCTTAGAGAGTCTGTGTGAAGCAAGGACTCGACAGATAGAGGCGAAACATACTGTAAATGTACACTGGAAAAGATTGTGTATGAAGTGCCTGTGGAAGTTTTTTCATCTTCTGATCATAAGTCTGTCAGGCTGAAAGCCCCGGGGTTCCTCCCCCGAGGAAACATGACATACTTTTCCACCTCTTTCTTCTATTTCTCATCTTCTCCCTCACACTTGCTCTCTGTCTCTGTTGACCTTTTCCACACAGTAACTGTCTCTGTTTTCTCTCTGTCTCTATTCCTCCTTCCTACCCCTTCATGCACTCCCCTTCCTCCACCTTACCTACTCATCTCTTCTGTGTTTCTCTATCTCTGATCTCTCATCTTCCCCCCTTAGTGCGTCCTGGTCAAGGTTGGCAAGGGAGCACCTTTTAGGGGTTTGTATGGAAATACTTTGCTTACTGTTTGTTAGGAAAATATCACTCGACACCAGGTTGAGAATCAATAATCAGGTTCTAGTTTATTCTTGCAAGAAGGAGCAGAGTTAAATCACATACAAAGGATATGGGTTAACTCACACACATGAGGTATGTTGCTCAACGGAGCAAGAAAAAACATCAGGCTTATATAGTCCAAAACACAGGAGATAACAACAAAGTCGTAAATCGAGGTGGCGCGAATATCAGCCGCGGGTGTTGGAAAGTCGGGTCATCTGTGACGTCTTCTGGACTTCCAGCAGTTGAGAGATAATGTAGGAGAAAACATATGTGCCTGTCTCCTCATAAAGATCAACAACCTGAAATGCCCTGCCTCCTCCTATCATAAAGAGGCAGCTACAAGGTCGTACACAGTTCAGCCACACATGATATCAGTGCAAACCCAAAGAGTGGATAAAACAGTATTTCTCCAACACTGTTCCTGGTGTGTTCAAATGTTTATGGTAACCTACTGTCTGTTTTTAAGAAATGTCCCTTTTTGCCAGAGGTGTCTGGATTTGACCGTCGTGCCTTTTTAAGGAACAAGAAGTAATTTCTGGTTCCCCCCATTCCTTTACTCCATGTCTTCTCTGACCTTTTGCTCTATTACCTTTTTCTTATCTCTCCTTTCACCTCACTATATCTATTCCCCCCCCTTCTCCTTTGCTACCTCTGTCTCCCTCACCCCACCCGTCCTCACCCCTTCCCACTGAGTCACCTTATCTCTCTGCAGTCTGTCTGACTTATTTATCACTGCTCTGAAATATTAAAGAGTCTGCTGCCTCCAGTCCTGGGAGAAGTCCACCACTTTTACTTACAACACACACTCAACCTAAATCATAATGTCTTCTGAAGATGACACACACTCTGCAGCACTACACACACTACCTTTCATCTCCTGGTTCACACAGACTGAACACAGCATCCTGACAGAGCTGCTCCTTTGGGACTGTGCAGATGCATGTATACTGTCACAATGTATGTCTGAGTGACGGTGTCAGTCTGCTGTACACAAGCCAGTATCATGACACCAGTTAACATTAGTTTGTCTTGCAAAACAATGGCGTACATTGATGGCAATAGTTTGGAAAATTGAGTAATTACTTTAAAGGTCCCCTATTATACTGTATTTCATCAATATATTATAGTTCTAAGATGTTTACAAAACATGTCTCTGAAGTGTTTGGCTGAAACACCAAACATATCATGCATTGTAGCATCCCATAAACCCCTCTGTTTCAGCCCTGTTTCAAAAGTGCTGATTCTCTGTCTGTTACTTTAGATGAAAATAAGGAGCCACTCCCCACGCCCCTCTGCGAGATATTTGGTTAAAAAGAACACAATGGTGCTCTAGGAGGATATTCAGGTGATAAGGTGGAGGGGGGGGGGGTTACCTTGGTTGGTCATTGGCTAATGGTTACACAAGCCAAAAAAATCCTTATGACATCATAAAGTGGCCAAAATCTGATCAGCTCATTTTCTGACAGGTTTTTATATAAATGGATCAGGACAAAAAGTGTGCGAAGCTTTTTTCCTGAAAGACACATGTTTATGTATAAAATACATGGATTTTGCATATTAGGTGACCTTTAATAATTCTTCACGCAAAAATGCCAACAACTCAATGGCTCTAGCTTCTCCAATGTGAGGATTTGCTGCTGTCCTCAGATATACATTTCATAACAAACTGAATGGCCTTGTGCTTTGGACTGCTGGGTGGA